TAGCAATCATTCTATGTTTGAGTAGTTTACAGAACCAGCAGTTAGCAGCTACAACTCTGCTGCTTCAATTCAAGCATGCAAGCATTTCTTTATACACAGCATTTCAGTCAGGTTGAGGTCTGGGCTTCCATGCTGCAGATTTGCTTCTGTACCTGGGGTCATTATCCTGTTGCATGGCCTAATTTAGGAGAAGCTTTAGCTGTCGGACAAATGGCCTCACATTTGACTCTAGAAAACTTTGTCATGCAGAGGAGTTTGTCAGCTGCAAGGTGACTATCTCTTGTGGCTGCAGAACAAGCTCTTTTTGAAAAAATCACCACCCTTGAACCAGCATAGTTGACAGTTGGTTTGAGGTGTTTGATTCTTGCTGAAGGTACTGCTGTGCATTATGGCCAAACCTCCACTTTGGTCTCAGATGCAGCTCTTGGGTAAAGAGTATGTGTGGGGAGTGTGAGTGTGTGTACAGTGTCCATTTTGTTTTGTCTCCATGTTGGGCGAGTGTCGAGTATTTATATATGTGTGCATGAGGGTGGGAATGCATGTTTGTGTATGTGTGTGTCTGTGTCAGGTCGGGTCTTAGACAATCTGGGAACATCTCAGGTACCCTCAGACGTCGGTGCATTGGTGGTTCTTGCTGTCCAGAACTGGACGCTCAGGTATGTACCGGTTCACTACCGGTACCTGATTTGCAGGGGCTGGCGCCTGTGGCTCAGTTGGGTCCCTTCTCGGGGGTGGGGGGGTTCTCGGACCCCAGGCCTCAGTCTGCTCTGGCAGCTGGCGGAGCGCACGGACACGTCACTGCAGCTCCCTGTGGCTTCTGCACCGTCCCTGCTGCGTGACCCCACATCTCGGGCTCTCCTCAGCTCCTTCCGGGAGGGTGGCGCGGCTGCCCCTCCGATGGTCCTCCTTGGGCTCTCGCGCTCTGGGGGCTTCTGGATGTCTGGGGCCTGGATCTTCTGCATGCCTGCTTCATGCCCTGGGGGGCAGGGCTATGGCTCCCCACAACCTCTAGCAGAAATTCACATGGAGAAACCTTTTGAATACAAGCGCACTCATCTACACAGGTGTGCACACACACGGGTGATCACGGACACAAACTATATCTATCTTGGCTGCTACCTCAAAGCACATCGTGCGCTGTCGGTCTTGTGTGCTGCAAAATAACATTCACTATTTAGTATTTATTGTTACTTACACTTGTCTAGGTTATTGCTGTGGTCTTCATATTGTTTTGCTCTCTTTTTGCTTGTTTTCTTCTTCTTTTTTCTCTTCTCTCACTGTCCCTCTTCCTCTCTGTTTTTCTTTCCCTCCCTTTCTTTCTCCCTTTCCCATCTCCCAGTCATGTCTGTCCAGTCTGTAGTAAATAAAACAACAACAACAACAACAATAACAAAGGTCAATCAAGTTACCATAATGATCCACTTGGTAAAATTAATTCATTGGGCATCTTTCTTGGCCTTCAGACAATAATTCTGATTACTAAAGTACCAAACGGGACAGGCAAAATAAAATAAAATAAAATAAAATAAAATAAAATAAAATAAAATAAAATAAAATAAAATCATCATTTTAGGGGCAGCCTGCTCGTCCCTTGTGAGTACACAGCATCTGTGTTAGTCTTTCATTTCAGGCTTGTCCTCTTCACCCCAAGTCAGCATCCTGTCCCAGGATAGACACGGGCCACGTACCCGTCCTCTTTCTTTTAAAGTCCATCGCCATCTCTTTTTTTTTTTTAAGTCTTATTCACATTAAGAAGCACACGATTCCTTTCAGACAAATCCATAAATCATCCACTAGTGCTCTACACTCCTCCTCTGCCCATCATTAATATGTTCAACCACTACAGAATTATCAGAGTACTTCTGTAAGTAGGATGACCTGGATTTTTACTGAAAGTCTGAGGTGTACAAGGTGAACAGAAATAGAGACAACACAGTCCCTTGTGGATCTTCTGTACAGCACACCAACAAAAATCACACAGAGCTCCACATTCTTCCGCCTGTTTTGTCAGGTATTCATCCTATTTTAATTTAAGAATGCGCTGAGTAAATAAACCAATTAAAAACACACTGGCACAATTAAATGTTGTTTTTGATTATATCCAAGGCTTATTAGACTCTGGTCTGGTTCCACCAAATCATGAGAAAAATATCTGAAGTATAGTAACGGCTAAATCGGTCAGCTGTTGTCATTTTATTTGCTCGTTGTTTGGTGCTGGTGAACAGCTGTTAGCTACAGGTGGAAAAAATTGACCTCACCAATGAGTTGGGTAAAAGAAAAGTATTTGAATTTCATTACTAATGGAAACCCATTTCACACCCCACGAAGTAATCTGAGACTTACTATTCATTGATTAGTGCAGTTTTCTGCAAATTCTGCAAACACACGCTGACCAAGGCAACAGTGAGAATGTATTTTATTTTGATGAGTGCAAGTATGAGTGCAAACTTCTATAAAATGTAATCGTTACTGAAACGTTTCCTGAAATATTTTGCTCTTATTAAAATTTATCACACGAAATGAAGCTCTAATTCCATAAGGTGGCGCTTGTGTCGCATGGTTGGATTAGTCAGGCGCATTTGCAACCTTAACAGTCTTTGTAGACTAAATTTAAAAAAAAAAAATCAACATACTGTTTACAAGAAAAGAAAAACTGTCATTTCCACGCGCCTCATGGAGACGTAGTCTGTGGTAAGCGGCTCATGATATCGGCCTTGTTATTTTCACTATTACTACAGCTACAGCTGCATTACCACGCAGGAAACAGCCCCCAAACGAGCGGCAGAAGGTCGGCGGAGACACGTATTCCATATTAAACACGAAAGTAAATCAAAGGCTTAAAAGTCCTTTCCCTCATAACCTCAAATACCATTTTCAGTGTGGTCTTCTAAAGCTGCCAGACACATCTTATCTCCAGACATGGGTATGGCCCACTTGAGAATTAAACCACAAAAGGTAAACTTCTCGTAATTCGGTGAACACGAAGTTCATGCCCACTTTATTCTTTTTTAGGAACATTATCTCCAGGTTTCAGACTCACACTATGGATCGTCATACTAGTGGGTTATAATGGCAAGTTCTTCCTTTCCACTGTTACTCATCTGTAATAGCCGACGGTTAAATAAATATGAACGATTCCTTTGCACATTTCTGTAGATATCCTTCGGAATTGAAAATGTTCATAACCTTTACAGTAGTCTAAGACACGCTATTGATTTACAGAGACTGTGCTGCTTTATGGGTTATGTAAGTGTTATGTAAGTATGCCTTGTTATGAGAAACTGTCAGGGTGGCTGCTACAACACGTTTAAGCCAACAGGCAGTCCAACACAAATTCCACAGGGAGGGGAAAAAGCTTTATTAATACTTTAATATATATCAATAATACTTTATATACAAAATATGTACATCCTTTGCATTACATTTCAAAATAAAAATCCCAAGTACCTCTTTCTATACAAAACTATTATATTTGTTTTACTTTACATTCACTCTCTTTGCCACAGACACATTTAAAGCAAATATGTTTGAATCACCTGCCACTGTTTGTGTCTGTGTTAAAACGAGTAAAGGCAACAGCATGAGCTAAAAACAGGCCTGGACTCGACTGGAAAGCAGTGGGCAATATGCAAATCAGGCTGACGCCATATGTATACTGTACACGATGTCGCAACGTACAGCCAATCGCTCCCTCAGCCTTTCCCTACAAAATACACTCAGTGGGTCACGTATCAAAAATAGAGATGTACGAGTAGTATAAGCAAAAGAAATAATTACAAGACACTGCTTCACAGGAACTCCACCTAAAAAAAAATGCACAAACAGTCATGAGCAACAAATTAAATCATAAAAGCGTGTATGGCCACATCATTCATCGACAGACAATGAGTGACACACCTCGTACGGCGACAACGCCCTGAATTCTTTGAACTCTAAACTCTGCGTTCATTTAGCTTTGCCATAACTGAAGGAGTTAAAGGGGCAAAAATTTTTTTTTGTTTTGTTTTTTGTGGTAGGTCTAAAACAATAGTTTGTTGCAGTTACAGGAGCAACAAACACTGAAAGTAGATCATCCTTAAAAGTCATTCAAGCAGCATCTACGACGGAGCTTTTGTTCAATCTTTACATTCATTACAGACTGGCGTATGTGTTTGTGTGCGCGCGCAAAGAAAATAGCTCCAAAATGTTTTCAAATGGGGTGTGTGTTTGTGTGTGGAAGGGTTAGTCTACACCTTACATTCTAGGTTAACCTTTGACATTCAACAATAAGTGCTGAGATGACAGGTATTGCAGAAAAACACTTGCGCGCTCCCTCGTGCACTCTAAACTGACCGTATTAAAACTCACAGTATTTCAGAGCCATGCAAAAGGTCTAACATGAGCCTTCTCGTGGCCATGCCAGAATCCCCACAGAAAGTCTCATTTCACTTCAGGAGCTCATGATAGATGGAGGTGGGACACAATGGGTCAAACTACAGCTGCTGTTTAATGGGATACCAGTGCTTTCGTGTTCGTTTATCCCATTCGACATTCAGAGGACACGATTTGTGACACATCTGCTCAGTCTTTGGTTTCCAGATTCAAGGGAGCGACCTGCTTTAAAGCTTTGTGAAACGTGGGGGAGTCCATGCGACTCTGGTGGTGTACTGGAGATCCTGCCCTCGGGGACATGGACATCATCAGAGACGAGGGAAGTGCCTCTGGGGGTAGGCCTGCTGCAGAACCGCTCATACCTGGGTACATGACAGGCAAGCCCCCAGGGTACCAGCATTTCTCCAGCATGGGCAGATACGCTGCTGCTGCCGCCGCTGCGGGGGGAATGAGGTAGAAGGGAAGGCAAAACGGGTTCTGGTTAGGGGAGAAGCTCAGGTAACTACCAGGAACTCCTGTCGTGTGACTGGAGAGAATTTCATTTTCCGGGGAGTCCGATCTCAGCTTCTTGGCCCGAGGCTCATCATCCTCCTGCTTGATGACACTGGCCATGCGCTCAGATCCCGAATGGTTGAGCTCCCCCTCCATCGAGTGGCTTTCTGACCACTGGGCTTTGGGGTCCCGCTTGTCATGTTCTCCCCCATAGCCACTGTCAGTGTCTGTGTCACTACCGCTCAGCTCCCCTGTCCCGTGGGGATAAGTCCTTTGAATGACTGGGACGCAGTTCTTAGCAGGGCCTTCAGAGGCCCTCTGTGGCTGTCCGGCGGATTTCTTCACTTTTTCAGAAGAGCCCACATCCTCATCCGGCCGAAGGCTGCTTCGATGCTGCAGGACTTCCGCTGCTACCTTTTGGATGTGAGTGATTACGTGCGAAGGAGTCAAGTCCCTGCTGCTTTCTTGGGTGGCCATATAGTGCAGAACCTCTTTGGCGCATAAGTGAAAGCCAGAGCGGAACATCTCCTCACTGCTCTCAGCGCTGTCACCTCCATGATCACCTAGGTGATTAAAAAAAAAAAAAAGTTTAAATCCTCTTTACAGCAAGTTTTACCTCAATAAAACACAACAGACCACACAGTGCCAGCCCCAGTGATGCCTCTGTACCATTTCCACTTCACAGCCTAAACAAATAAGAAAATGAAAAATGAAAACTCAAACTTACCAAGCTGCAGGTCCTTCTGTAGAGCGATAATTTTCTGCTGCTGCTGCTCCAGGAGAGAACTCAGGGCTTTCACATGCTTGAGAGTGAGTTCCAGCACCACAGCTTTCTCCAAATGACCCAGCGTCTAAAACAGGAAGACCTTCAATAAGCATGTTGATCTTTCTTATGTAACACATTCTGCAGCTGAACAGAGAACAAGTCTGGAACACCCGGGAAGTCATGCAGTCCATGTACACACGTACAAAAACTTCTAGTAACAAATTTTAAAATAACAAAGCAATTAAATGAATTTTTTTTAAGTACGATTGCAATTAAAATTTAAAAAATAAAACTTTTTAAAAATTATTATTATTCGGTTCTTCTCTTAATAAAAAAATAAATATAGACATATGTATATAAATATATTCTTTTAAGGCTTCAAAGCTGAACTGAAAATATGGCGCAAACAAACTGCTCAGCAGAAACATGTGGCGTCTCAGATTCTCTGGCTGTTAGCAAACCTGCCATATGCAGAAATAATACTCACTGTAAGCTTAAGATGTTCTGGCAATAAATCTTTCAGTTGGGCAATGCATTCGTTTATTCTGTCGCGTCTCTTCTTCTCGATAAGTCGGTGGGGCAACTTGTAGGTCTCCTGGAGAGGGTTGTGAAAGGTGGTCAGTGAAATTCTGCTCAGATTTAACTGTTTAAATATATTACACTTGTAAAAACTAGAACTTACCTTGCTCTCATTATCTCGCTTCATGCCCCTCCTGGGTTTATACACATAAATTGGAAAATCCACTCTTTGGAGAGAAGATTAAATTAGTTGATTTCACAGAGCTTCAGTATAAAGTGCAGAATGACATTTTTTTATGTAATAGAAATTGCTTCGTTTACCCTTGCATGTCAGCTATATCCAGAGAGGGGTGTTTTGGCATACAGGGAGGTGGTTGCGCGCTGGTAATCCTCTCCATGTCGATTAAATGTAAAACCTGAAGAAAATGCTTTATAAAAAAAAAAAAAAAAAAAAAAGCTCCAAAATTTGTCCCAGCAGCCGCAATTCAAAATGAAAAAAAACAAAAACAACAACTTTCCAAGATAAAAGAAATAAAGGAGAAAAAATTATTTCCTCTTATCCAGTGTGAGTGTGTTTTCCTGTTGTGAGCTGCAGTCGAGCGCAGCTGGAGTTTTGTCGCCCTGAGGTCCGGGACTCAGTAGTATGTCTAGGGAGGCTCCACGCCCGGCGCAATGTGTGAGAGCTGGGTGGATTTCTGACTACGTGTTAAATAAACCCTGTGACTGCAGGCACGTCTCTCAGCTACAGACACAGACTCCGCTCCGTCACATGAGCCTCACGTGTTGGACGGTGCTTTCAACTCCTCACCTCCCCGCTCGCTCCGCCCCCTCTCTCTGTGCTGGAGCACACCCATTTGTGTAGTACTCCTCCACCGGGGCCGAGTCCCGTGTACCACCACGCTTCGGATCTCGGGGGTTGAGTCGTGTTTGCAGAGCAGAGCGTGTTTATGGAGGCAGAAAGTAGAGCAACAGATTTCCCCTGGACAGTTAGGAAGTGTGGAGCCGTTTTCCCCATGTTAACTGGCATAGTAAGCTTCATAGTAAGCTGCACTATAGAAACACTAGCATAAAATACTATAGCCTCGACGCTGAAATACAACTTTTTTATTTTTTATTATTGGGTATTAGCAAAAGGCCTACATTTTGAGATGAAAAAAAAAGTGTGGTAAAATTAAGCGAAACTAGTTAACATGTAGAAATTATAACGCAGAAGAAGCTTTTATCATTAAGTTGCAACACTTGTTTACGAAAACTCTTCCAAGACTTTGCTCATTTTAGACGCTTTATTTTCTCACGCGAACATACACTGGGCTCAATGCGGGCGAGACAAACAGTTGCGACACGATGAGTCACGCGATAATTATCTATGGGGTCTCAACGTTTCAGTGAGGCCAGCGGGCCACTCATTTTAACTCTCCGCATTTTCAGAGCCTGCCAAGTGTCACGCGCTCAATGTGGCGTGGACACCCGTGTAATTTCATTCTGTACGGGTCTGGTGTGCGGCACGTGCACGTGCACCTGCGGCAGGATGACAGAGTCCCTGTGGTGGAGCGTTTTCTTTCTACATACCCGCACCGTGCTGGTACTTATTAGACCTGCTTGTACCCAGCGCGCTGTCACGTTGAGCTCCTCATGGCCGGGAGAGAGCCGAAGAGCGGATCCCTGTCGGTGACGTCAGTCCAGCAGACGACCGAGAATGCCCGACTGGTCGGTCGGTTCCACCCGCCGACGTCCCGAAGCAGACAGACTAAATATAGAAACAGCTTCAAAACAACGGAGAGGAGGGAACGGGAAGGGGTTGCAGATAAGATTTTGCACTTAATTCCGATAAGGGGGGGAGGGGGTGTCAACTACTGTTTTCAACTCATCTTTCCGTTTTCACTGTTCTGTGGAGATGCAACTGTCTGCATTTCTTATCATTTCACACAATTTAGGTGCCAAACTGTGTGGTTTTAAAATAATATTAACAGTATCTGATTACCCCGAACTGTGTGCATATAGCCTACTCCCATTAGTGTAGAAAATTTGCACTCGTTCTCCGTGCCCTAAAATATTAGTTGATATAAGTCAATATAAGTTGTTTAAGAATCATTGTAACCACGCTGCACCCTTAAAGTTTGCATTTACAGATGCAGCAAGTCTGCACCTACTACCACCTTCTTTATGCAAGAATTGGCATTATGAAGCATGAGCTTCTCTGACCACAGTTTATCTGCTGAAAAACACTCAAGCAAGAATGCTGATTTTGCACCGAGGGACTCGTTTAAGGGTTTTGGAGGGATAATTTTGTAGAAAATAGTTTACATTTTTCTGGAAATGACTGACAAATGAATGGCTCTTGTATGCAGACATTTCATTAAAAAATGAATTAAAAAAAAAATCTAAATATCAGGACACCAACTGATTGAACCTGGACAGTTACACATTAAGTAGAGCTTGGTGAACATATACTTGGCTGTCAGAGAATCAGGAAAGTCCCTGATCAATGAGGATATATTCTACTCAGATGTTCCTCGTTTCCAGTCAGCATATACAGATTCTCTGAAAGCCAGAAGAATAATTCGGGACGTGGCCCAGTTTAATTTTTAAACCAAACTTTCCGTGTGAACCCATATAGAACATTTTGCTTATTGCCAGTGAGCGGCATTTGTATTTCAGTATCCATTTGTGTGATCAGATGAAGACAAATTCATACATTTTTCTGCTTTATAGGTCTGCAGTTACTGAAATAAAGATACAAAGGCAGTATTAAAAGAAATGATACATGTGGTAATGTATGAATGTGTGCATTTGTAAACAAAAACACATTATAAATCCTGTAAAAGCACATCAATAACAAACACAGCAAAGGGAGTAAAGGATAATTACATCAATTTTAATAAATAATTCTACTCCAGTATACAAATTGATAGCGCCTAAATTTTTTTAAGTAATTATAATATTCATAAGTAACCGTTTTTTCCCCCCTCTTGTCATTTTTCTATACAAAAGCGAAGGTAAGCAACAAATTGTATATACACATAGGTAGTCCAAAAATGAGAGAAGTCTAACAGTAGCAACTAATGAGTTTTGGTGGAAATAAAAGTGACTCAGCACAAGCAGCAAACATGTCTCAGACTTAACTCGAGGACCAAAAACGGGCACAAATGGAAGAAGTCTGCTGCAAAAACTGGACAAATTTATTATTGTAAAAATGACACAACTCCTGAGCAAATATTAGCATGAGTGGCACTAAATGTCCTTTACGACCCAGTTAAATAAGAAAGCAAATATATCATAAAATTAGTTAGCGCTGAGATATGACACTGTTGGCTTTACACAGGTGAAAGTAAACTATCCGTATATATTGCTCTCAAACAATATGCTATCTATACTTAGTGCCGTTGCCCCTCAACAAGTACGCACATTTTCAAGAAATAAAAGAAGAAAGTAAAACTGAGAAGGCCAGCTTATTAAGTATTATCCCTATCTGTGTGTAAGTACAGGCAACCAACAGCTCTCTATTTTATCCAGAGACAAAACATCGGGCTGTGCTTTTAAATAAGACAAAAATGATGGAATTTAAACCCACACACCAATGAGGTTGCATATTTAAGTTAATATATTGCACAACATACAAAAATAAGACGTGTAATACTGCTCATTATTCTAGAAATATAAATAGAGAACAATAACATAAAAAAAAGAACAACAAATGGGACTATTCCCTCTTGTCCAGTCAGCTTTTTCCCCCCATTTCAAGTTCAACCAGTGAAGGCCTTGTGGTCAGAAATCCAAATGATTTCTACCTAGGAAACATTTGGCACCAGTTCTGACAGGCCTGAACAGAATGAGGTGGGTGAGTGTCACGTTCTAGAGTAACACATGCGTGGTGGGTAGAGCTACACATCGCCTTATGACTACCTATGTTACAGTGTTTCCCTACCGTTATAAGTTACACTCAGTGCAGTATACATTATGTGCAACCTCGGCGTGAGGAGTGCGCGCTCCACCTGGGCGCAAAGCCAACGCGGAGCTCCTTCAGGGCTGTGTGCCGGTCGACCTCACGCAGGCTGCTGAGGGTTGACGTTCATGTGCTGAGGGTGTCCCAAAAGGCCGATCCGCTGCTTCTGCTTCCTCTGCTCTGTCATCTGAGGGGAACAGAGAGGGCTCGTTTTGTTAAAAGAAGAAAAAAGAAAAAATTATTCCACCTTCTCTGCTCTGCAGTCTTAATCGATTCAGTCTTTCGCAGCACCTTATAGAAACTGACAAAATGCAGCAGCAAACTCTGCATGCAGCTCAACTGAAACACATTCTTCTGAAATCCTGCCAGCCTTGTCATCCACTTTGCTGTGTCTTCTGACGAAAGCAGCCGAATACAAACTACTAATCCTGAAACTCAGTCAAGAGAAATTTCAGAGATCAAGAGAAGCGCATGAGTCAAAACGCAGGTGCTAACCTTTATACGAGCAGGAACAAGAGAGGGTTTTCTGCTAAGAATTTACTTTAATTGACATAAAGTGGTGATTTGCACCTCGGCAGTGAAACACAACAATATTAAAAGTGAGAAGACAAAGTGGTCCTGTAATGAGTGTTCCAGCAGAAATAATTCTGCGCAGAGGGACGTGTTAGACAAAAATATCATTTAAAGTCAGACAGCAATAGCATGCTGTCCTTTTTGCGCTATAATTTGCTAATTATGGCAATCTTTTGAGTGACTCAACATGGAGAGCGCTCATGGCATAATTTTCACTCTCCGGTGAATAAACGTTGGTTTGTTCCTGAGAAAGTGAAGAGTTTAAATTCATCAAGCGAAGAAAAAGAAATCAAAGCAGGCTATGCGAGCATTTGTGCGTTGCAGCGCGATGTGACAGATGTTCCTGTGCCCGTCATCGCTCTTGGAGGCACAATAATCATTTCCCCCACTGTCTGGGTCAAAATGTCTCTGAAACATTCACTTCCTCACAAATAGTTCTCATTTCGAGGGTAAAAGGCTTTTTACAATTCTGTTTACTAGAAACAGCAGATTGTGCAACAATCGGCTTGTTTTCCTGGATATGCAATACCAGCAGAACTGTATCCTTACACAACTTCTAGTGTGTCTGCTGAATGCAAAAAGTAAAATCTTTTACAGAATAACCAAACTGAACTGAAGTTTGGTTTAATAACGCACCGAAATAAGACAGATACAAAGAAAAAAGCTTAGCTAACGGGTCTATAATCCAGAGAAACAAAAATGTGCTTATAACACAGTGATGAAAATAAAATCAGATTGAGAATCTCATGAGCGGTGCTGTGAACTATGACTCACCACCTTTTGCATTTAGAAAGCTTTGCATCTAAAGGGCAATGAGGAGCAAACAAACAAACAAAACTGAAAAAACGTCAGCTTTGCTCTTTACAAAAAGAAAAAAGAAAAAAAAACCCTCTAATGCTTCATGTTTTCTCCCCCTGACAAAGTGTCAGACATCAA